AAATGGAAGCACACAATATGTGGGGTTTTGTGTATCTTACAGTTTTGTCAGCAGAAATACCTGAGAAGTTTGAGGGAGTAGGTGGTTTTCCAGGTTGATGTGGGTATTTTGGGAGGTAGGTTGTTATGTGCCCAGGAGAATGAGGCAGGTTAGTTTTAAAGTGGAGATTGGCTTAGCAGGTTCTTAGGATAGAGCCAGTCAGCAAAGACATTTAAACTGTCCTACAATGCAAGAGTGTTGTATAAGGTAAGACTATACCTAGGCTCCTTTTACTTCTGAAGGTCTGCAGAATCACTGAACACCTTGCTGAGGAATCGTCTTGAAGTCAACACTGTTGGGATTAGAATATATTTCCGGCTTTGCAAGGAAAGTCTTTTGGGGAGATAAATGGTGGCTTCACAAAGTTGTCTGTCTCTATTTTGTTGCATAATGTACTTTCATTAATATTTTTTCACTTGAGTTAATTTGCCTATATCCTATGCTTTGCCTGAAAATACAGATCAAAACGTTTTCATGAACCCTGGCCATTTTAGGGTCACCTTTATCTTCTGTGTAACTTATCTGTTAGGCCACATCTTGAAATACGTAGTCATTTTCCTGCGATCAGAGCAGGAGCAGGTATTTCTCACACAGTCATTTGGTTCTTTTTGCCAAAGGGATTGATGTGTTGTGTTTCCTTGAAGCCTGTGCTGACCCAGAAATTACCCCATTTTTAAATTACAAAGGAATTATCAAGTGCGAGGGACCAAGGGTCATGTGAAGGTTATGGCTGTGCTTCCTCAGTTGTCAAAATTCAGAGTTTTTCAAATAAGAAACAAAAACAGCCACACAGAATTTCATCTCTTTAATTGTTATGCAGTCTTAACCATCATGTAAGCAGTCTCACAGCTGCTTGCTCTAAGAGTAAGGAGGGAGCTGCCCTTGTCCTCTAGGGATTTATAAACTCCTAGGTAGCAGCTGTATCCTAGAAGGTAAAACTCAAACAGTCAGAGGGCCATTTGGCAGCAGTTTGGGAAAAAGGCCATCAAGAAGATAAACAATTGCTATCATGGGACTGTGGGAAGCAAGGAAACTGGGCTTTGCTATTGGCAACCTTTTAATGCAAGAGTGGAAGAATTTAAAGCTCCCTAGTGGAATTAAAAGTTTGGCATTATAGGCAAAGTACGTAAGTACGTAAATAAATAAAAATTTCAAAAAATTTTTTTAATCTGAAGAAGGATGTGTTAGGATTCCTTTGGATGAAAAAAATCAAACTGGCATACACATAAAAGGATATTTATTGATTTATGTATGCAGAGAGTCTAGTGGATGGAAATACTGTTGGATCCAGAGGCTCAAAGTGTGACATCAGGTCTCTTCCTTTTCTCCTTTCCTCTCTTGGCTTGACCCTCTTCTGTGTTGGCTTTATTTTTGGGTGTGTTTTCTCCACATAATGGCCACAGGCAGCTCCAGGCTAGTAACTTCAACAGTGGGGGTAGGGAAAAAGAGCTTATCTTTCCCAGTAGTTCCAATGTGGGCTCCAGAATTGAGTCTCATTGCCCAGTCCTGAGCCCATCATTGTGTGGGCATGGGTTGGAATGTCCTAACTGGCCTGCCTGGGATGTGAGTTTACACATGGAGGGAGAGAAAGTGGGTAGTTAGCTCCACTCAAACCACAGAGACTAAGGATAGGAAAGGGGTAGTTCCCAAAGGACCACGAGGTTTTGCTAGCAGAAGACAGAGTAGATGCTGTGTGCAACCAAAATGTATGTCTGCTACAGAAAGGAAATCAAGAGCTCATTTGGTTTTGAAGTATATAGCAGGATATATTGTGAGAAGTAAATAACTATTTTCTGCTAAAGATTAATGAGAGAAAATAGGCATAAGTGATAGTAGGAGGGACTTAGAAATAAATGTTTTTCAGAAAAGCTAGATATAGATCAAAGTTTTATAAACCAAATCCCATTTTCCCACCGATTTCCATTATAAAGTCACAACTATATTCCTAAAAGGAGACAAATTTACCAGATTTCTGACTTGGGAACTTCTGATGAAAAGTAGTTATGATTGCCATAGATCTATGATGTATACCAGGCCTTTTTATCAGTGATACAATGGCTGCCAGAACTGCAGTTACCAGCTACCAGTTCACTTCTGCTTTGCACTCTTTGGAAGATTTGGAAGCTGTTTCCTTTCTCTCCCTTAGTAAACAATTTATCTTTCTCTTAGCCACAGATATTTTCCCCTATGCTAAAATATCTTTAACTCCACCTTGGACCTCCAAGAACTTCCCCATCATTTTGCATAATAGAGCTAACTACAAGTGCACTGTCATACTGTGCCAACAGGGAAACTGTCTAATTCAGGTTCTGCCACAGCCTGAAACTTCCTGAAGAGAAGAGCTTCTGCTTGTGTAAAATTGGAGGCCACATAAAGGAAGATGTGGTTTAGGCCCACATGCAGGGACTTCCCAGGCTTTTTGGAAGCAATGAAAAGATAGGGGTGGAGAAGGCAAAAAAGAGGCAGACAGGTGCAGCCCTCAGCAGGTGCACTGCCTTTGTGTATATCTGATTTAAATAAGAGAATGGAATCACAACCTATAACATAGAAAATAAGGGCACCTGGGTGGCTCAGTTGGTTAAACGGCCGACTCTTGTTATCAGCTCAGATCATGATCTCGGGGTCCTGGGATCCAGCCCAGCGTCCATCCGGCTCTGCACTCAGCAGGGAGTCTGCTTCAGGATTCTCGCTCTCCCTCTGCCCCTCTTCTCTCTCTCTCAAATAAATAAATAAATCTTTTTTTTAAAAAAGGAAATAGTATGTAGACTTTGCCTGCATGAGTATCAAATTAAAATGGAAGATTGGTAAACTCAGATGAAAAATGATTAAGGATTTCTTAAGCATTTCTATTACTCTTTACCCGTCTTCTCTTTCTTAATTCCTGAAATTTATATCAGGACCGTATCTTTGAACCTTTTAATTCATTCAACAAATAGTTACTGAGCACCTGACATGTGCTGGCACTCTTCTAGACATTGAGGCTACAACAGAGAACAACAACAACAACAAAAATCCTTGACTTTGTAAAGCTTACATTCTAAGGAGGAGAGCAGTCAATAAACAAACAGATACTGTATATAACATGCCAGATAATAATAGGTGCTAAGAAGAAAAGTGAAGCAGGGCGAGGGGGATAAAGAGTGGTAGGGGAAGGAGGCTGCCATGTTATATGTGCTAAGTATGATATTTGAACAGAGACACCATGGGGTTTGGGGAGCAAGCCATAAGGCTACCTGGAAGAGGAGCAGCCTAGGCAGAGAGGATACCAGGGGAAGACCATGGGCCCGGAGCAGCTTGGTCTACTCTAAGAACAGTGAGTAGGCCAGAGTGTCTGAGGACAGTAAAAGATGGTAAAAGTGAGGTCGGAGAGTGAACAAAGGCAGGTGGGAGTGGGGGGTTGCTCATATTCAGGGGAGAAGGGAAACCACTAAGGGCTTTGGGCAGAAGAATGATGGGGCCTGACTTGTTTTAACCAGATGGTTCCAGCTGCAGTGAGGGTATAGGGTAAAAGCAGAGAGACCAATTGAGGAAAAAAAGAAAAGCAGCAGGCCACAAATGATGGGCCAGAGTAGTTGAGGTAGAGGTGATACAAAGAAGCATTTTCCTCCTGAATATATTTTGAGACCTGTATTTCCTTCCTTTGTTTTTCTTTTCTTCTTCCTTACTATTCTTTAGAAGTCTATAACATTTTCCATTCAAGTAACAGAACTTGTATTAATATAGTTTTGAGACCAGGGGCTTTATTTCTGATCCTATCTTGGGTCATATCTCTCCCCCTCTCTCCACCTCTGTGAAGTTTGCCTAATATGGGGCGGGGCTCAGATAATTACCCATCTAGGAGGTACTGGCATGATGGCAGAAGGGATCAGCACGTACAGCAGTCCCCACTTATCTGCACTTCTGCTTTCCACAGTTTCAGTTACCTGCGGTCACCTGTGGTCTGGAAGCAGATAAACCTCCTTCTGACTAATCATCAGAAGGTCAGTTGTAACCTGTCACAATGCCTGTGTCTTTTACCTCACTTTATCTCATCACATAGGCATTTTATTATCTCACTTCTTTACAAGAAGAAGGGTGTGTGGAGTACAATAAGATATTTTGAGAGAGAGATACCCCATTCACATAACACTTATTACATTATATTGGTATAATTGTTCTATTTTATTATTAGTTATTATTGTTAACTTCTTACATTGCCTAATTTATAAATTGAACTTTATCAAAGGTAAGTATGTATGGGAAGAAACATAGAATATAGATTGTTTGGAGCTATCTGCAATTTCATGCATCCACTGGGGGTCTTGGAACCTATTCCCTCCAGATAAGGGTTGGGGGGGGGACTACTCCCATACTTGGAATATGGACTCAAGAGCAGGACCTTCCCCATTTCTGATCAGGGAACTCAGCCATAAATAATCATGGGTCTCCTACTGATCACGCCCAGAATGCTCTGAAGATATTGCCTTGTGGAAATTACTCTCCTCGTTGACAGTTTTACAGAGAATACTCATATTGGAAAAGAGAACTGCAGCAGAGACAGGATATTCGACTGATATGCTGGCAGGGATGATGCTAGTCAGAGAACCTTAGTCTCAGACTTGGAGGGCTCCCTAGAGGGTATTTAATCTAGTCTTCTCCTGCTGCTGTGTGAATCCCTGCCACAATATGTAATCATCTAGCCTCTGCTTTTAGACTCTAGAATCCATAAATCATAGAATGTCAGTGCAGGAAGTGATCTTAGAGATCATATAGGACTGAGACTGGAAGAATCCAGGCGTCTGAACTCCCAGACCCATGTTCTTTGCACTCACTGTGTTGTCATCCAAATAAAGGGCAGCCCTTCCTGGTAGAATTGCAGAGGTGGGTTTAAGTGCCTCAGTGTTGATCCCATCACAGGCTGTCTGGGTTTATTTGCCTTCCAATTTTAAATCATAATCCTTTCTTTTTATTTTTAACCCCAGGGGTTGCCCTGCTCTCAGATGCATACCCTGAGAAAATCTTGCTTGGCTTGTTGGCTCAGTATGACAGTGATGAAGACAAGCACACACCGGAGACCAGAATGAAAGTCGGGGAAGTCCTGATGCGAACTGTCAGAGCATTAGGTGAGTTTTCCATCGTCTGGAAAAGGGGGGCAGTATGGCTTTGGAACCAAAGTCTATGTACGTTGGAGGTTTCTTATGCTCGCACAGTGAGGACTGTTTTGGGGCTGAGATGAGCTACACCCGCCAAGGGCTTGGCAGCAATAGTGCCCATTTTCCTACCAGGGCTTGGTCTCCTCTCCTGAGCTATGTTGGGACCTGATTTTCATTGGAGCTGGAATGGGAAGTTTCACACTTGCTGAGCAGCAGCAAGCATAAAAAGAAGAATGTCAGACAGGGAAGGAATAGCACTAGCTCTTGTTGAATGGCTACTGTTTGCCAGGTTGTCTGCAAATATAATCCCATCTAATTTTCCCAATAAATCCTATAGAGGGGCTGTTGTTAGACCCATTTATAGGTGAGGAAATTGTGGTACGGAGACCTTTAGCAGTTTGTCCAGGACTCATTCAGCTGGTAAATAAAGTGGTGCTAAGAACTGAACCCACCAACTCAAAGGAAATTGCTCCAGACTACATAAGCTGAGAGTAGTAAGAGCATGAGCTCTTGAGTCACAGTGCCTGGGTTCAAATCCCAAACTGCTGCTTGTTGGCTCTGTGACCATGGGAACATTTCTTAACCTCTTGGTGCCTCAGTGTCCTAGTGTATAATGTGAAGATATTAATAGCACTTACGTCATAGGGCTATTGTAAGGATTAAATAAGGTAATATTTAGAATAGTGTTTGGCATACAGTAGAGGCTCAATAAATTTTTATTTTTGCTAAGAAGAAAGATTGCTTTCTTATTTTTAATTTTTTTAAGATTTATTTGAGAGAGCACGAGCACACAAGCAGGGGGAGGGGCAGAGGGAGAGGGAGAAGCAGACTCCCCACTGAGCGGGGAGGCTGATGTGGGTGGGGCTCGGTCCCAGGACCCTGAGATCATGACCTGAGCTGAAGTCAGACGCCCAACCAACGGAGCCATCCAGGAGCCCTGAAAGATTGCACTTTTTTTTTAAAGAAAAGAAATACTTTATTATTGAGTGCCCTTAAGGGACTAGAAGATGAGATACTGGAGAGTAAGGACAAAGAAAACAATTGTTCACTCTAAAGGTAGGGGTTAAATTAAGATATACTAATGAATTTCTCCATAAGCCAATACATATACTTTTGATATTTTTATATCGAGCTGTATAACATAGAATTAGGAGGGGTTTCTTTAACTCGCATTACGTAAACTTAGCCATGGACTGCTATACTGAGTATAGATAGCTTGAAGCCTTGAAATAAGGCAAACCAGTCATTTAAGTGTGGACCAGTGGTATACAGTATCCATTTAGTAATTCCATCATGTATCCAATAGCGTGTGACCTAAGGCAGAAAAAGAAGTGATCTCAGCTTCAGTTTGGCTAATTTGCCTGCAATGAAGAAATCACACTGAATTTTTCTTTCACCAGCATTCAAAGGATTTACAAAGATTCTGCCTAACATGCATCATTTCTTTGGACATAGCCCTGAATTTTCCTAATTTCTGGGTGTCCCTTCTGGCTAAAGAAGAGGACCTAGATCTCTAACCACTTAAATTTTTTTATTAGTAAAAGAAGAATATCATGAGAGTGAAATTTTTTTTAAAATGTTTTCCACTCTTTAAAGAAAGACCAACTTTCTGTATTTGCCTTAGTCCTAAATATGAGCCTGAAAACATACCAGACACCTGCACCATTACAAGAAATCATTCTCTCACAGGAGGTGTGAATTTTAAGCTTAAAGTATTGCAGGGTCAAGTGCAACCTCCGACTTCTATTTGCGTGTATCATTGGGATTATCAGAGCCAAGAAGGAATGTATGCCATACACAGAGTACATCAGCATAACATGTATTTTTTCTCTGTAACTTCTGGTAAACCTCTACCATTGGGATGATGAACACTGAAAATACACATTTCTCAGTCTCTACTGGCCAGGGGTAGAGGTGGAGATGAAGGACTGGGTTGAGTGGGAGAGGGGCTTGACTCCTCCTTACATGTTCCTATAATTAGCCCAATTTCCAAAACAGTCTTTTGGCATTTCAAAGGAAACTCCATCAATTCTCAAAGTTCTAATGTTTCTGTAGCCTACTTTTCCAAGGAGCCAGCCATAAGACATTGCCTTAGCTTTAACTGCTAATTTCTAATTCATATTACCAGCTTGTCCAAGTGCGTAGATGAGCTGGCTTGTTGAAATCCTTTACGTGAAATTAAAGCCCATTTTTACAACACAGCCAGTATTCTTAGTTTACTAGTGATGTGGAAATCCTTGTGAACAGCTACTCTGTAAGACTTCCCTAAAAAGTACCCTCGTTTTATTGGCCCAGGCCTTGCTCTCTCCCCACCCCAGCTCTTCTTGGCAGCAGGGGGAGCCCCACAGAACAAGGCCCACAGGTGGGAGCCCGGCGCAGGACACAGAAAGCTCCTCTTGGCGTCATGTCTGGTTCCCTAACCATGCCTGCTTGTCGTCCTACCACTAGACAGTGGTGAAAAGCAGGAGCTTTACTTCTTTCCATTTTTAAAAACTAAGCTATCACATACACACAATGACGTATATAAAGTACACTCACGTCAATATAGAAAACTTTGGTAACCCATAAAGTCTCCTTTTGTCCCTTCCTAGTCTACACCTGCCCCAGAGGTAAGCACTATTCTAACTTTTTACTACCATCAATGTCTTTTGATTGTTCTTGAACCTCATTTTAATGGAATTAAATCTCCATATTTAAGGCATGCTAACAGATCTAGACACGTGGGTAAATTCGGGTCCAATCTGGGGGATTAAGAATACTTCATAGGCATGATGTATACTGTCTTTCCTGTTGTGTCACAATAGGAGGCACATAATGTCTGGTTTTCTCACTTTACTGATGTTGAGATTGATTAGTGGTGTTTCTGGGCAGGTACATCTGTTATAAACTTCCGCATCAACCTTCCTCCTCGTGCCTTTAAGTAACTTTTGATAATTGTAGCCTAGATCCATTATTTCATAGGGGTTATATTTTTTTTTACACATTAAGAAAACGGGTACAGAGAGGGTTACTAATTTGCCTAATGTCACACAGCTAATTATGGTGGATCCAGAATTTGAATCCAGACAGTCTGACTCCAGACCTAGTCTCTTACCCAAAACACCCTTGCATCCTGAACATTCTCCCATGTCATTAAGCATCTTTTTCCTGTCATTAACATGGACATTTTCCACATCCTCTATAATTTTTAATGATTACATGATATACCATTTGAATGTACCATAATTTTTTCAGCTGACCAACTTACAGGTTGTTCCAAGTTTTTGCTATTATGAATTACATTAAGATGAATATTCTTGTAGCTAAAGTTTGTGCAGATTCATGATCATTTCCAAGGAAGAATTTCTAAAAGAAGGATTTGTTAAAAGTATGTGCATATTTTGTTTTTATTTATTTATTTTTAAAGATTTTATTTATTTCAGAGAGGGAGAGAAAGAGAGCAAGCATGAGTAGGGGTAGGGGGAGAAGGAGAGGGAGAAGCAGACTCCCCACCGAGCAGAGAGCCTGATGCGGGGCTTGATCCCAGGGTGCTGGGATTATGACCTGAGCCGAAGGCAGACGCTTGACTGACTGAGCCACCCAGGCTCCCCAAAAACATGTGTATACTTTTAAAGATATTTATTGCTAATTTGTCTCCCAGGGAGACTGTGCCCGTTTATTTATTTATTTATTTATTTAAAATTTTAATTTGAGTATAGTTGACATACAGTGTTACATTAGTTTCAAGTGTACAACATAGTGATTTGACAAGTTTATACATTAATCTGTGCTCACCACAAGTGTAACTACCATCTGTCACCATATAACGCTATTACAGTATCATTGACTATATTCCTTATGCTGTGCCTTTTGTTCTTGTGATTTACTCATTCCGTAACTGGAAGCCTGTACCTCCCACTCTCCTTCCCCCATTTTGCCCATCCCCCTGAGATTGTGCCAGTCTCAATTTCAGTGTTTGAGAATATTTGTCTGTACCCTCATCAGTACTATATATGCTATGTATTACCATTTTTTATCAAACACATGTATATAAAGAAATGCTATCTTGTTTTGATTTCCATTAATTCATTTCATAAGGTTAAACATTTTTCATGTATTTATTGGCTAAATTGTATGTGTGTGAATTGTCTGGTCCTGTTCTTTCTCCTTTTTTTTTTTTTTTTTTAAATTTTATCTATTTATTTGACAGAGAGAGATAGAGAGAGCACAAGCAGGGGGAGTGGGAGAGGGAGGAGAAGCACGCTCCTCGTTGAGCAAGGAGCCTCACACGGGGCTCGATCCCAGGACCCTGGGATCATGACCTGAGCTGAAAGCAGACACTTAACTGACTGAGCCACCCAGGCACCCCTCTCCATTTTTCTATTGGGGTATTGATTTTGTTATTTGATTTATAAAAGCTTTATCTATTTAAAAATCATGAACCATTGAAATTTATGTTGTTACTATTTTCTTTGGGTTGTGTACATTTTAGTTTTGTTCATATTTTCTGTTTCATTTTGTTTTTGAAACACAAGGTTTTTATTTTGATGTAGGCAAATCTTTTTCTGATGGTTTCTCTTTCATATAGAAAGGCTTTCTCAAACCAAGATTATATAAATATTAATCTATATATTTTAATTTCTACTTTTCTTTT